GTAATAAACATACTCATAGGTGGAATAAAATAGCGCGAAAGAGAGGGGAGAGAGAGGTTGATCGCGCTCGTGAAGAGAGGCGTCGAGCGGTCAGGGGGCGGAGGAGGGAGGGAGGTTGTCGCATTCGGTATGCAAAGTGCACAGGCCACGGGGACCCGCTTCGTCGCGTGGAAAAAAAGGTATCATAAAAAAATGCAAGGTTACCCACATTTTTTTTTATTCTCCCCGTGGAGCTCGGGGGCCGTTGCGGGGTGCAGTTGATCCGGGGAACAGGGGCGACTGGCGAGAGGACGACTGAGAGAGAGAGAGAGAGGGCGGGAGGGATCAGAGAGTTTGGTTATCGGTGAATAATACCGACGCACTTTATGCGCAGACACCTACAGCCTGGCGGGCTCGTGGCCGCTTTGAACCTGTTAAGCGGGTAATTCCTTGAGACAAAACGCCCCCCCGTGCTTGGGCAATTCGACGTGAGCCCAGGACGCGTTCGTTCGGCGATTTTAACTCCGGGGGAACGGTGATAACGTATGCGCGCATCCGAGCGGTATCTGTTTAAGCGGATGAATAAATAAACGGAACGGTTTGCTTGGGGTATTATTGACGCCCCGCGAGGACATTTTTTTTTTTCTTTTCAGTCGCGCAGCGTGCAATTGCGCGGTCGCGAACGGTAATTTCGGAGCGCGACGGTGTTGATAGGTACTGATAAATTGATTTGAACTTAGTAAATGTATAGATACGTGAAATGAGTGGATAAGAGAGATAAATAGGCTTACGAGATTTTTAGGAACATTTATGGAAAAATTGATAACGTGCGATTGGAAAATAGTTCAATTTATCTGACAATGCAACAGGACAAATTTCTAACGGTATACGAGAATGACAGTTTTTTTTTTTTTGTTACGAAGAGTGATGTGAAATGTAATCGATTTGTTAATAGAATAGATTGGTGGTTTGCTGAACCTTTGCACACCAATGGCGCTGTGCGTAATTACTTTGGAGAGCTTGAAAATGTAAAATTCAGGTTTTTGTTACATTATTAAAATGATGCAAATTAACGTAGGAAACAGAAGTAAATAATTTCGGC